AACGGTGTGGTGGATATATAAAGTGCTCAGGGCGACGGTGTGGTGGATATATCAAGAATGGGTCCAAAGGTTATCCTTCGGGGGCAAGACATGTTATGTGAAGCACAGCGATGGCGAGATATCGACAATTAACTCTGTTGATGGCGGCGGTACTCTTTTTTTAGAAATTTGATCCGAGCACTTTGAATGGATGAATTTCTGAGATCAGCGCTCACGCTAAGCGGTGCTTGTTGTGTGAGTCCTGTCCCCTACCATCCGATCGCGCAATTCCAGGCAACGGCAGGAATTTAGTGGCGAAAGCTTAACGTGTCGCAATGCCCAGCACGGTCCGTCCTGCCCGCTGACGTCAACTGACCTTTAGCGCGACCGCTGCCACCGGCCGCAGGCCATACCTGTCGAGGGCAAATAGAGAGCGCCTAAAGCGACGCGAACCCACCCCGCCACGGGTGGGTGGATCGGAAGGCAGGCGCTCTAACCAACTGAGCCATCGGGACTAACCAACTGAGCCATCGGTACCTGTGAATAGATGAAGGCAAACGCCATTAGTGTGATCTTTCCACGAAACATCGTGCGGTTAACGATAAATTTTCAGACACGCCGAGGGTGGCTGCCCTTCCCTTCCATCACCGCCACCGTCCCTACTCCAGCTAGTTCACTACTAGCAAAAATCTTGCGGCGAGTGTGCCAGCATGCACTGGCCCGCCACACCCTGTTTTGGATGTTCCAAAGCCTGCAGGCAATGTCAATATTTCATCTATGCCTGTGAGGGCAGGAAATGAGTCGACTGGTCTTGCGACGAATCAAATAGCAGGCGTTTTGCAATCTCGGACAGAGCTCTCACCATGGTGCACTGACCTTCCACTCGCGTCTTGAAAGCTGTTGTTCCAGCTGAGGTACGGACAACTCAAAAAGTCACGCGCACGGACAATGCCAGCTGAGAAAATCCGAGCATTCATCAATAGGCCAGTTTTAGTTTGGTTTTTGATGAGTGCCGTGGCTAGCGGGTGTTAGGGATCGCTACTAATACACGCCCGGGCGGCCGGCTGAACATCACACGCTCAGTGGGGTGGGGGGTCAATTTGACCCCCAAAGATCTGAAAACTGAGAGAGCTAGACACCAAAAGCGGCACCAGAGCGGGTTTCACTTTATGGGTTTTGACTAGAGGTACGAGAGCGGGTTTTTTATGTGAAATCACTTATTCCAAAGTGAAGGGTCTCCAGATGATGGCCCTCGGGTCAGGTAAGGTCACACAGGGTCAAACTCCAGATTAGTGTCCACAGTGCCCAAGGCCTCCTCATGCTTCCAACTTGAATCTAGATACCTGTCTTACGCAAAATGTCGCTAGTACTCATTTAGGGCCAGTCACATTGTTTGACCTTCGGGAGGTCATGGTGACTTAAAACTTACGAGGTGTTTTGATTGCCTGATTTGAATAAGCGTCAAAGCTCACACTAGACGATATGTTCGTTAAAAGGTTGATCAGAGCTATTTTAGGTTAGCAACCTACGTTGACCTTTACAAAGTGCATAGCAGATGTCTATTATGGTCCCTGTTATCAAGAAAATCGAAGTTAACAGTAAAAACTACCGTATAATAAAGCTCTACAGCAAAAACCCAGGCTGGTTTCGATCGCGTTGACTTTCAAAGCTGACCCAAGGTCAGTGGGATTTGCCGTTATCCCAAATTCAACTGTCGAACTGTCTAAGAAGCTCTCCCAGGGATGTATGGATTTGCCTAACACTTCGTTGTCGCATCAAATTGAACGATTCCCCAGAAATTGCCTTTGCTGGCATCCACGGCCTGACTGGCCTGCCATAGGTTAACGGCCTTATAAGGTATGCCTAATTTTTGAATACCAAAAGATTCGTGGTTCAGTAGGCTGCAGCTAAGGTTAAGTTTGGCGTGGCTATACCCGCTGTTTGAAAATTATTTTCGGAACAAAACTGCAAGGGAGAGGTAAATTCCCCCCATCCGAGCGCGTGTCCATAGATACCGCTTTACCTGGTAGCATTAAAGGTCATCTTTTGTAGCTGCCGCGAGTGCGCACAGGTGTTCAGATAACCAAATAATGTAATTTCCATTCCTGTTTCTACTCTCACAACTTCTGATATAACATTTTAATCTCGCAGCAAAACCCACAAGTTAAGTTGCTGTAATAATCATGTGCAATCAAAGATCAATCACTGGCAAGCCGATTTATTCATTCACGAAACATGTACATTGCCGGTGAGTCGGACCCATATAACCATTAAGGTTGCAGTTACTACGCGCAGAAAAAGGAAAGCTTCGGATGAACAAATGTACAATACATTGTGATGCTGTAATGATGCCTCCATTGCACACTCTGGCATTATCAGTTATGGTGCCCATAGTGCAACAATGCATCACATATTCAATCATAGGTAAGAGTATACAGTCTTAATCCTGGACAGTTAACATCATGGGACATCAACAATACACTGATATTATGACACGTTAATGTTTATAGGAAGACCATGTATAAAACCAAAAGGATTTCATAACCTCTGTAAGAATAAATGCTGCTACGTAAAACCGTAAAATGTCTCAGACACCTACAATACTTGGTACCCATAATTTCATACAGCGTGGCATGAATCTTACCAAGTGGTTCTGATACTCGATAGGGCCTCGTAACCTCCAGGAGCCGGGAAGTGGAGCGTAGGTTGGGGACATATGTTCATGGCTATCTTGGTTTCACCCCGGTCATTTGCAATTGCGATGTGTGCCTCGCAACGACTCCACAAAAATAAGGACCTGTGACATTTTCGCAACGATACAGCACAATATGCACAATGTCCTGCGCTTCAACGCGTATAACATATAGCGATATCAATCAAGCACTCATGTTGATGGCTGCCAACCTTAACTGAAAATGGCTGGGCAAACCGAACCAAATAGTTATTGAGCTGGATGTGCAGGAGTGGCACATTCTCATGATGTATGTGATATCTTTGTTGCCAGGTTTGTATCTTAACACCTTAAAACTCTGCATACCTCCGTCCTGGCATTTGCGCCAGACTGGCAAAATGCGCGGCCGTAGCACCTCCAGTACGCACAGTTTTAGCTCTAGAGTTTTTTAGATGACAGCAATCTCCTAAAGGTGCAACAGGCATGCGTACATATTCAGAGAGACAAATTTGTGGTGCTGGCTGGCTGGTACACTTTGCGTTTATGAGTCATTATAACGCAAAATTAGGCCTTAGGTCATACATTAACTCTGCGTAAATAAAAGATAGGAGCAAGGTGGTATCTGAACCGTAGTTTAAGTTCAATTTTGTCGCTAACACGTTACATTATGCGGAAATGGTCACAGGCTTCATTGGACGTTAACCTTCAACTTATGCTTGCCAAGAAATCGTTTTCGAGCTGCAAACGTGGAAAGTCTCGGCCCGACTTGCGATTCGTCCAACGCTTTTCATTGTACCACGAACGTTTTTCTTGCACCGTACGTTGCAAACTTCCGGATATTCCTTTTCTCCGCACCACGTGCCTAATGGGAGTCGAGCATCGCGTACCACGCGCCTAATGGGAGTCAAGTTGCGCGCAACACATCCTAACGGGAGGCGAATACCATATAATGACGCTTTTATCATAGCAGCTTTGAATTAAAAGCGGTGCAGTCCAAAAGCAGCTCAAAAGCGTGACAATATTTCAGGCATAAGTGATTTATCGGTGCTCAAAAACAGTGCTCGAGCTTGCAGTGCTTTTGCTTGTTCAGGAAAAACGAAATTTAGCTATCCTTACGTTAAACTTGGTCGCTATAAGTATGGCAAAGGGATCGGGTTAAACGACGTCCAACGGCAAGTTCTCCTGTCCACGAGCCCCGCGAGATCAAACTACATTATCTGTAGTCCTAAGGTGGCTCTGTCCATAACCGCAAAATCAATATGTTACGGCCAAGGCAACCTACCGTTTATTTTCGAGGGATAACGAGAGGTCATTTGAGGTCATCCACGGTCTCCCATAGTGTCAATCGTCGATCATCTCAAGATCATTGTGCACCACGATAAAAATGAACACGCTGTGAAATGTCTACTAAAAAAAACAAAAAAAAAACCTTGGGCAGGTTCAATGGCCTACCCTGCGTGACCTTGACCATGAACGCCCTTTCAGCACCATCGATACGCTTCGGTCACTGTGGTCAGTGGTTTGGGCGTGTTGGCTAATGAGGCATGCGTTTTAATATCTGACCTAAATAGCACCTGAACTTTTAGATGGCCTTAAGGAATGTCGGGGGAACACTACTGACAGTTTATTGGAGTGTTATGCAGTCTCCCGTGCGGATGTTGAAAGGCTTTCACAATATCTTATTTGACCATGAGCACGTGAAACGTTGAACCATATTTTCACATCAGTGTATTCCATCGTTGTCGTTGCTGTCTCATTCGTGAATTCGAAATCAAGGTTTTCATAGTTGTCGAAATCAAGCGGACTTGTTAATTTTTATTTAATTTATGACGGAAAAATGAAGAAGTTTCAAATTATGTACCCATGCGGCAGGCAAACACAGCAAACACGAAACTAAAAGTGTTACCGGTACGGGACAGAGGGATTATGCTTTCTGAAAGCTAGCGCTACCTGTCTCCCCCCCCCCGCCCCCCACGGCGGCCACAATCTGCTTGTGTTCATAGTTTAGTCACCAAATAATCGGTTTGGCCCGTCAGTTTACCTGCCACCCGCCCGGACGTCAAATCCCGACAACGGCTGTTGAGAAACGGAAATCGTACGTTTAAAACGTACCTAAAAATGAAACTATGCAAATGCCCCCCAAACAGGCTGAAGTTGAATCTTCGATGACGGAAAACGGGAAAATGATTGTGTGCGAAATTATCTACATGGTGCGAGCATCTGAAATCAGTTGGCACCGCAAATCTGAGGCTAATGCACACAAGCCGCATCCTACTTCCCGTCACATTTGAACGTCATTCCCAGGTTGCCAGCCCGTCTTCCTTAATTAGTAAGAGCAATTTCGCTGCAATTAAATACCGTTGAGATTTACAACGGGCTCGAAAATTATACACACGTACTTAACGTAGTGGGTGACGCCTTTGAAAGTTAATTTCCTCCGAGTGTAGCCATAAGGTTACTGCTTAAATTTTATGGACACTGTTCGGGTCATGCTCCCTTCTCCCTCGCCGTTGTCACGCCTGTGAACCACATAGTTCTCGCCAGCAGTTCGTATGCCGGGTCTGTCTCTGACGTCCGTCCTTTCGCACGTGACGTCATTGGCAACAACCCGCCCGGAGGACAGCGATTGGCTACGTTCCACAAACCGGTAATCACACGACACTCTGCCGGTCGAGACCACTCGAATGCGCCCTGCGAACCGGGGCCGACAGCGTCCGACAGTCGTCGCCACTGGGCCGGCGGGTCGACCTTGACCGCGACGACTCAAGGTCACACGGCCGCATTGTTCGGGACGTGTCCGCGTAGTGGACGCAGCTGTCCAAGGGGTTGGATATTATGTGCTCGGCGTGCGCGAACAGCTCCTCTGGCATCTGCTTGTGGCGTGACTGGAACATCAAGCCGAAACAGGTTATCGCCTTGGCTTGGGTTCACGTACACACACATACCACACACACATTTGATATGACGATTGGTGATGGATTTGTTTAACTTTTCTGGCGCACAGACTTCATTCTTAAGACATTCCGGTATAAAGTACCAAATATGGCGCTTGTGAAACCCGGCCCCGTGCTGCCCCGACGATATTTCGGGTTTAAGGTAATGGTGGATACATGTGATCTCGATGTTGTGAAGTCCTGATAAAGACCTGCCGATGAAAAGGATGGGAAATGCATAACGGGCTGGAGTTCTCACACCTTCTTAACTGTTGCTGAGCGGTAACTCTTGCGTGAATCTTACAGAGAACAAGTTACGAAGTGCAAAGTGGATGGATGCCTAAGAAGCAGCAGTGCGCGCTACTTGTTAGTTACTTTTCATACGGATAGACCAAGTGGGAAACAGTGAGCCAAGAACTCTAACGAAACGTCATAATCATTAGCGAACATTAGGGCAGACGCAACATCTTTATTTTAGGTATACAACTAAGGTTTTAAGGTGGCTTTTATGGCGATTTTCTTAAAGGTTAGCAAACAATCATTGCGTAAAGTACATCAACACTCTCCCCGGGGTAAAAGGAACGGTCGAGAGACGCCCGTTCCAGTCGCACCGAGCAATGCGAACCCGAGCGTTTCCAAGGAGATGCAAAACCTTATGCGATTTACTGCGCAGCCGTCCGCTTTCTCCTCTTCTTTCATCAATTATTTTCTATCGCCTTCCAACCACCAATACATGTTGGCCACTGATGGCCGTAAATCGTTCTAAAGTGGCGTACACGCCTTTCCAACGAACTGCTAACATGAGTTACCCAGATAGGCACAAAAGACACGCAAAGAATTGCTGCACATGGCTTCATCCCCTTGGATTTTATCTGACGTCTCAAATGCTTTGTTTTGAACAGCATCTGTAGCATTTAAATTATTAACTGTGTTCGGTGGCTTATCAACATACACGGCTACACTTGTACCAACATATATGCAAGCATTTACTCTGCTGTAAGATTCGCACGAAAGGTATGAGAAGGTAAGCACCTCGTGGGAAAATCAATAGCACATGCTGGGACCAAGACCATCTAGAACCGGGCCCACACCATGTGTGCGCTACACGACCAATGTCCTCGCACGGGCAGGCCGACCCCGCCAGAACGCCACACCGCCGGCAGGCCACCGGACCCCGCAATCTCGCGTCGCCAAGCCGTCGCATATGACAACATTTGTCGGACGTGTTTGTCCCAGATTTGATCTCCACACTGGCGGGGAAGGGTAAACATATGCCGAAGCGTGCTGGAAATGAGACCGCAGCCGGCGTCTCAGCTTGCCCTGGTTAATTTCCGTGCCCGGCTGGCAAGCAACGCTCCCGGTATGATGACCGGCCATTTGCCTTCCGGGCCTGGCCTCACCTTGTAATTGGCTCTCGACTGGTGCGTCGAGGACGGCCGGCTGTCCGAGTCGACGGGCACGAAGCAGCTTCGCGTCCCCGATCCTGTCCACAGAACCCCAGACTCGATGACGGGCACTGCCAGTACAGTTTGGACTAGAGTTCAACGGTTACGGCAGATAAGAACAGTGCGTTCGGCGCGAGCTGTCGGGAGCGCAGTTACAAGAAACTCAGAAGGGAGACAAGCGCCAAGAGAGGATCACGTTGGAGATGAGCGCCAGCAGACATCCGCCATGAGAACAACTTCAAGAGATATTATACGAGAGATACGCGTCCACACGTCTCCCTGAGGAGCCACCAGTCCGGCGATAACCGTACAAAGATCCGTGTGATGGCGCGTACGCCAGGAGATAGGCGTCGATAGGTAAACACCAGGAGATGGGCTACCGGAGATAATCGCCAGGAGATGACCCCCAGGAAGTAGCGATATGTACACCGCCTGAGGGGAACTGCCAGAGGGCACATCAAGCTAGTGTCGTGCTGGCGAGCATGCCGAACGGGGTTGGTCGCGATCACGCGGCAACGGTCTCTTTCGGTTGAGGGAGACGGTTGTCCAGAGCGGCAATTTGCACTGGCATAACCATAGAATATCTGCGTCATACCTCTAATGAAATTGGGCTCAGCAAAGTTCATCTCAAAATGCTGCTATTTGAAGCTGTTCGACTAAATTGGCAACTTAGGAGGGTCGCTTGTGCTACTTAATAAACGTGGCAAGTTGGGGGAACAGTTCGCCAGGATCAGGAAGTTAGCCAAGCTGATAAAGTATCTGACTTTAGGACGGCTCGATGCTCCAAATAGGAATCGGCATCCGCTAACTTGAGGATATCCGTCACTTCAACCTAGCCGCTCACTGCAGCGAGCCAAGACGGCCAAATCAGTTGGTGAGCAAAAACCGAAACTAAAGCTCTGCTCGAGATGATGACTTCAGGCACACAACGTGCTAACTGGTCCTATTATTGTCCTGTTAGGGTTCTTTAAATATATGTTTGAACCGCCACCCAGCAATAGGCAGAGGGAAAGATGGCCTCCACCTGACTCCAAGTGCGACTCATCCCTGACGACGGCCGGACACTGTCGTCGCTCGAGAGGTGTGCTCCAGAACAGGATGCGTTTGCCAGTTGACACTGCGCTGACATGGAGAACGTTCGGACGGACACTGTCGTCGCTCGAGAGGTGTGCTCCAGAGCAGGACGCGCTTGCCAGTTGACTCTGCGCTACATGGAGAACGTTCGGGCGTTTAGTGCTCTTAAGCAATTGGACTAAGTTGTGTGGCACGTTCCCTGATTGATTGACGCATATCAGCCCTTTCCACGCCAGCGTTTATTTGGCTAATGCCTAATTTGGTTCCGCTGCATTCCACAGGCAACTGATACTAATCTGCACGAAAAAACATTACAAACAGGGGAAAAATAATTATTTTCCGTTAGAAGTGTCAAAATAGCCGGCAAACTTTACTTTGAAGGCGTTTTTATTTCGCCACCATGTACCAACTCGTCAGGTTACGTTTGTATATTTGGTCCCATAGGGCCAAATCGTTAAGCACCGCAACCATGACAGACAAACAGGGAGCGAAAACGCCTCCGGAGTTAAAAGTTACGGGTGGTCCGGATGACAGACGATGATCCTGTTCCAGCTTGTGGGATTTTTCCAAGCATTTGAGATTTGGAAACAAATAGAGCATCTGTCTAAAAATGCCCGTGTGAAAAGGGCAACGGTGACGATCCTGACTGGGCATTTAATTCGCAGATCAGAAAGTTATGCATGGTTGACTTAGAACGGTTTTGTGTAAAGACCAATTACTAACCACGTTTAGAAACTGACCAGGCATCTTCAGGGAATTTTCTAACAACAGTGCTACAAATGGTCACTACAGAATGCGTAGCTAAGTGGTTTTGTATGCTGCGAGTTCTTTGCCTCACTCTTTGCTTTTAAGCAGCCATTTTCACTGCATTCTACGCTTCAAAGTGTTTTACCAGGAAGTTTGCGACGCGACGTGATTGCCACAAGCTTGAGAAGCACCGGAAATGAAGAAAAGTATTGGTTTGTGAATGCCTGCCAATCCCAGGCCAAGTCACAAGTTGCGTCAATTTAAAACCTTTGTTGGCGGCACACAGTGCACGGCCAATTCAATTACATCGACGATTATACGTTTTTGATATCGTGGTGTGTGTAGAAGAAAGTTTGCGGAAATTTTGAGTGACCCGATCCAACAAAAGAAAAACAGCTAAAAGATGTAGGCTGTTTTAGGCCATGAATGAATCTGATCTGGGTTTTATTCGCCCTCTTTGTTCTGACCGCTAGCTGTTCGGTCTGGTTTTGTCCGTGCTAGCAAAGCAGCAAAGAAACGTGACGACATCATCCTATGCACTTAATGCTGAACGACTTACTTGCATGGAACACAATATTAAGACAATAGTAATAGCCTTATTCCTCGGAAAAAAAACAGGAGAATGGAAGTATAGACTCGTTGATATTTCGGCAGTATGTCTTTGACAAAACGAATAGCAGAATTGGTACATTTAATCTCTACTACCTCCATGGACCGGAGGATTCTTGCGGTGGACTCCGATCAGCGAGTTATGATCTGATGGCATACACTACTATCTTTACTATATTATCCTCTGCTATTCGTTTCAATGAAGGCATGCTGCCGAAATACAAACGCATCAATATCTCCACTCTCCTGACTTTTCTCCGAGGAATAAGGCTATTCAAACCGTCCTGTCCATGCATAAAATGTTCCTCACAAATGCACTCAATAGATCAAGGAAAACAATATTGGGCGATCCTAAACAACCAACTTCTGTTGCTTTTAAATGAGTCCCACAATTGATAAGCAATGTAAATAAATATGCGGTGTTTTCAACCATTCTGTTATATTTCTCTGTGTTACCGTCTCTGTGTTGTGTTGCTGGCAACCGATTGGTGCCAACTGTTCTTGAACACAAGGCAACGATACAGCTGGAAGGCAATTGATTCATTAAACGGCCATTGAGGTGTACAATATGCCAAAGAATATTGGATATCTGCCTCTTCCCAAGGGAAGCTATAACTATTGATTGCACAGGCTCGTATATGTAATCGAATATCAGTTATCGGCCGTGATACGCACTAACAGTATATGATAGTCATTCAAAAAACGCTCCAGTGAGATCGCCCAGTCACGCATCATCCACAATCATAATCAATGAGCGACCCTACTTGGAAATAACGATGAAGGCTCCTCCCACGAAGGCCAAGAACGCCAACAGTGTCAGAAAGTTTACGACGCTGTTTTGTCGAATATTTTAAGCAAAATAGCGGTGGCCTCACGTATTTCGCTGACCGTGAAAACGGCTCGTAAGCAGAGCAATCGCCCATTTAAGCAGACATTCAGGGATGTGGCCGTCGGAAGGGCATAAGGTAAAAATTATACAGCTAGAAATTACACTGATACAGATTTACTCGCAGGGAGTTTTCTAATGTTTCAACCATCTAAAACGCGTCATGATGGTTCTGGATACAGCATATTCAGGGAGTCTTTTGCCTGTTTCATTTCTTAATCGATGTTATGTCTGAAAAACAGGTCATGCCATCTCTTTGACACCGGAGTTTTTGAGAGCCACTTCTTAACCCTTGAAAAGACGCCTATTGGGATGCTTCATCACACTCCAAAAGCTCTCATACAGGAGTCTTATGACGCCGTATAAAGGTCACAGCGGAGTTATGGAAAACCGGACACTGTTCAAAGTCAGGACACCCCAGACGACATTTAGAGAAGTGCCACTCCGAAACATCCTTCAAGGGTATGTTGCACATTTGGAGACATTGTGACGTGCATCAGACATGATGAAATAAGCTTATTCTTAACCATTGGGAAGTTTTGAAGTGAAAAAGACTGCTCTAGACAACACATTTTCCCTATTCAATAAATGTGCACTTCAAATTTGGAGGTAATTTCGTGAATCAAAACACTCCTGTCCTATGCATCTGGAGGTCCTTTCGAAAACAGGCGGCCTTATTTTAGGATGGCAATAGACTTGGCTGGACAACCAGAACACCTCCACTTTTAAATGTTGTGATTATCGACATTGATGCACGTGGACATGATGCACGGAACATTCTGATAAGTGGGCACGTGCCCTTAGAGCCCATTCCCCTTGAATATGACACCGCCCAGAAGGCCTCACTATGAACATGATGAACATGATTGAATAAAATCACTGCAATATGCCGCTGTTGGCCTGCGCCACGGAACGTTTGTATTGCGTTGACGTGCTACCAAAATAGCTTTCGTTTCACTCATTTGATGTACGTCAGGTCCCCACAGAAATGACGGAACGGCGCCGAAATTGCACGTTGAGCCAAATATTGTTATTTACTCCTGCTTTGACCCTAATCATGGAGTTCTTGAATATCTATCCGTCACTTAAAACAAATATTACATTCGCATACTCTGTTACGGCGCTTTTTTAGGGAGAACGTCTCCTATTTGACGATAATGGAGCCAGCATCATATACGATGAAGCAAGCTCACTTATAACCATTGGTATACTTTTAAGAAGACTGGTTTTTGACTGCTCCAGATAACATCATCTCTCTGTTTAGTAAATATGCTGCTCGATACGCCACTGTCTGATTACGTCACCATGCTTTGCACAACATTGATGCACAACATTGAGAACCAGTTTACCGCCGTTACATCCGGAATTCGTGCTCACCAAAGCCACAGTACGACGGGCGACTCAATAATTAGATTTCTCTTGGCCTGAACGCCGCATGGCCAATGGAATGGCAAGATTTAAATGGCGTTATTAAGACGTCATGGATGCTCGGGTGACCTTGAAATAGTCTGCCCATCTCCGCGGGCATGTGGCTAAAAAACTGGAGGGGTTAACTGTATCGAATGCAATCTGTAAACTGTAATCGCCGAGATGGCTATTTTATTTCTAATCCCCACACCAATGCGAAACATTGTAGTCGTGTTCCACATCTCTGGAACACTCTTCAAAGCAAGTGTTGCACATTTGCGTTCGGTTTTGAACTGGAATAGCCAACTTGAAGATCACTCGATGCAGTTCACAGCCCTGCCCTTCATAAGGCCTAAACCCCACTAGTTTCTGAGCTATACGCCCACGAAGACCTGCAGGCTATTACAAGATCACCCAGACATCCATGACGCAATAAAAAACGTTCTTCAAATTCCACCATCCCATTGGCCGCACGGCAATCAAGGCAAATAAAAATGCGGTTGTCAATTCGCTCATTTCAGGCATTCGTGAGCACGATTTCCAGATGTGACGGCCGTCAATGAGCTCTCAAGCAATGCTTTGTCAAATACGATGGCGAAATTAAAGGATGACGTGTTGAGCATATCTACTAACAGACAAAATCATAACTGCTGATTCGATATCTTCAAAGATGGAACATGTCCTTTGGCAGTCATTTAAACAATTTAGCCTGTGGGAAGTGTCGTGTTGGCCGTAATATACGATATCGCCACGGCATGGTTGGTACTTCAGAAACATGATGTAGTTTCAGAGAGATCACCGGAAAGCGTTCCCGGGGGTCCTTCGACGGCCGCGTGCAACGACGTCGTGCTGGAGGACGGAGATGCATCTCGGCTGTGCTTTTGCTTGGACGACCCATGTATAGCTTAGTTGTGGAGGGTCCTGACGTGTGCGCTGTACGAGACGAGGAGGAGGCATTCCTCCCGTTCGTTCTGTCCCAGTGCCTCTTCGCTCTGAGGTGCTCAGTAGAAATACAGTCGGTGGTGGTATTCAATTAAGGGCCGTGTGTGGTATCCGGCAGTCTCCAAGAACCCCGAAGAGAGCCCACGAGCTGTTGAAAAGACTCGTTTAGTGGACAAAGCAATTGATATACCAGTTGGGTTTGCCCGCGCATAGAGCGCGGATAATAGACCTGGATTGACGCAGTCGCCGGCCCCCGGCACGACTCTGTGCATTTTTCTTGGGTGCTGACTGGTCGACCTAACCCAGTCGTTATGTGTTCTGCTATAGTGCTTAAGGTCTCCTATGGTCTGTACATGCTTGGTGATGTCGATCAGTCTGATTAGTTCCCAGATGAGCTCGCAGCTCGTATGGTCATGTGACCAGGTCGCTTTAGTTTATTTTCGTCGTGTTTCAGCGATTTTTTGTCGAGTCAGTCCGGTCAGCTTTGCCACGTTTTCATTTTTGTTAAGACTGTTTGACCTATGGTCGACGCAGTAGGTTTTCTGATGTCGGGCAGTTTGGTGGGGTCAGTGTGGCCGTCTGCTTCGTATGCGTGGCCATAATTTGAGGTGTCAAACCTGAACTGACTAGTACTTTAACTCTGGTCCATGTGTTTTTCTACTGGATGCTGGTCAGTTGGGTCAGTTTGTGACTGATCCCCAAGGTTTGAACGTTTGAAATGTCAAAATACACCCTGACCCGTCCACCTTTTGTGTTTATCTGATCATACCCCATTTACAGAGTGTTTTAATCTCAGGATATCATCAGCAGGTCAAGTGGACACCCACCACAGAGCCAAAGGACTCCTGTAGAGGAATATGACACCACTCCCCAAAACGACACCGTGCAGCGATGCGATTTGGCCGGCCCTTCTCTAGGGAATTTGGGGGCGTGATTACTCCGGTGTCAAAAGACTCCTTGATTACTCCTCAGAAGTGTATGTGGAACACAGCTTATTAAAAGACACCATGCAGGATGCGCTTTGGCTGCTCCTGCACATAATTTTTTGGCGCGTATTTTTCTCAATGTAAGCACCCATAACAAGAACAACACAAATAGCAACGCAATTCTTCGAGCATGAATGCAAGTCGATCCTGTCCGCTGTCATGGGTAAACATTGTTTTTAAAGAATGCCTTAAACGTTCCAAGAGCTATCGGTTTCAAACAGTCGTTCCGCGGAGTTCGTCACTATGCGTGCATCATGCGCAATGAGTGCTGGCGAAACAGCCTCGAGCAATAATCACCTGCTACGAGTCTGGGAAGGCAGAGGTTCGAGATTCGATTCCCCACCGCGCCCGCTCTTCCTATCAGGGTGTGAGGCAGGCGACGCCATATAGCCTCAGCAGCTGAGTGCCTCGTAAAGCCCAATGATAACGGAACATTAATCACGTCCTGAAAAGTAATGTGGGGCAATCTTTTACCCGCTCCATGTCGACTACTGTGATCGACCCAAGGGAGTTTTCAGACCTGTCAGCGTGTGAATGCTCTGATCTTCCTCTGACAAACTTGACTTCCCACCTCCCAACTGACCTGACTTAGCTTGACCTGTCGTCTGACCTGCCCTGTCGTCTGACCTGATCCAAAGACGGTCTGACCTGATACTGCCCGCCAGACTGACCTGAGGGCAGCAGGTCGGGGCTGCGCTGGTCTCCGACAGCGCCTCGCCGTTGACCCTTAGTGGCACGGCCTCGGCCGTCTTGAGCCTGTGTGGCGCGGGCGGCGGCCCCGCGCCCGCAGAGAGACGATCACGCCGCCCGGCCAGCAGCAGCAGCACCAGCACCACCCCGCCCAGCACGGCCGCCACAGGCCCCGCCGACGCTGACGGTGCTGTACGCTGCCGGCACGGTTCAGCGTGTGGTCATCGTGTGGTCAGTGTGCGGTCAGCGTGTGATCGGTGGTGCGGTCATTGTGCGGGTCAGCTGTGTGATAAGTGGTGTGGTCAGTGGTGCGGTCAGCGTGTGATCGGTGTGCGGTCAGTATGCGGTCAGTGTGTAATAAGCATGCGATAAGTGTGCGTCCAGTGTGTGATAAGCGTGTGGTCAGTGTGCGGTCAGCGTGTGATCAGCGTGTGGTCAGCGTGGGATCGGTGTGCGGTCATATGGGTGTGCGGTGCAGCGTTTGATAAGCGTGTGGCGGTCAGTGCGCGGTCAGCGTGTGATCGGTGTGCGGTCATTGTGCGGTCAGTGTGTGATAAGCATGCGATAAGTGTGCGTCCAGTGTGTGATAGGCGTGCGGTCATTGTGCGGTCAGTGTGTGATAAGCGTGTGATCAGCGTGTGGTCAGCGTGAGATCGGTGTGCGGTCAGTATGCGGTCAGTGTGTAATAAGCATGCGATTAGTGTGCGTCCAGTGTGTGGTAAGCGTGCGATCGGTGTGCGATCAGTTTGTGGCCAGTGTGCTGTCAGCATGCGGTCAATGCACGGCCAGTGTGTGGTAAGCGTGTGATCCGTGTGCGGTCAGTATACGGTCAATGTGCGGTCTGCGTGCGGTCAGCCCAACGGCCGCGCGGGTGCGACGGCGGCAGCCCGCACGCCACTCCGGCAGTGACGTCAGCTTGACAAAAGGTAATGAAGTGCCTGCATGGCCTCGCGGCGCGCTCGTGGCAGATGGAGAGGAAAATTGAAACGATCCATCATCGTACGTGAGGTGGGAGAGGGATCAGGTCAAAATAGGGGGGAAGTCGGACGCGCACTGATACACTGGCATCTGGAGTGCTGGTGAAATGGGACAGAAACTACGCCAGCCAGCGCGAGCACTCAGTGTGGGATTCATCTACCTTGCCCGATCGATGAAAGCGTCGATTTTGATTTAAATAGCACTGAACGGAAATGATCACTTCAGGAGCCTGCGGGATGGAGGGCAGACAAAACCATACCCAGAAGTTGTTACTTCGAACGGGAGCCGCTGACTTTGGTGATAAAACGACACTTCGAAGCGAGCCTTTTAGTGAGTGGATTTCGTTGGGAGAATGCAGGGACTGGCTTGCATGAAAGGACACGTTTCTGACGAAAGGAAAGTGTAAATCAGAAGCTCAGAGGCGCGCTGTTCCTGCCACGACCGATATTTTTCAGATCAGGGCTCTACATCGGGTGTGTTTGGCATTTCTTCAAAACATTCGGCTGAATGCACAGTATTTGGGGTTATAGGCTCCGGGCCTAGCAACGTTGCGCCTCTATTGAATTATTATAACTCAGAAGAAAGGTTGCATCAATGTTGCTGAAAATTTACATGCGCCCACAAGAAGCGGAAAAGTTGTCAGCTTCCCACTCGACGGCCATCTTGTGAAATTGCAACATCGATGACCGTGGCAGTACAATGTGTATTTCTAAGTTCAACGCAGATTGAAAGACAGTGGAAAAGGTCATTACGCAGCGTGATTCAAACTCGTGATCTCGGAGTTTCGATTGGGTCCTGTCTCGAGAAGGCACTCACCAATACGGTCGGGCATCAGCTCCACGGTTCCGACACGCAGCAGCATGACCTTTCCGTGACCTTTGGCACTGGACGCATACACCTTGAGTGTAAAATTGGCGCCGGGGTTCAGACCACGGACGTGAAATATCGGCTGCTCGTGGGTCAGGGAACGCAAGAGCTGAAATCAGAACGCCGAATCAGATAGGAATCAGAACGCAACAGCATGTTGAACTAGACAACAGGGAAGACTCTGCTTTGCTTACATGCTAGTTTTGCAGTGCTAACTATATTCAACATCAAATCGAGTTGAAAGTGTACCCATTAACTCAAACAAGTGGTGACCTTTTCATATTCATGTCCATAGTTTCCCTAAGCGTCCTTGGAACTAAATTACCGAACATTACAAGCATTTAGGCGGTTCGGAAGGAATGCAGTCAGCGATTGCCTCTATTTATTTGTCGCCGCCCACATTACGGCATATTTTGCTGGAATTTCCAATAACCTCCGGTCGTTTGGCCCACGTCTGAGAGGTCCCATGCCGACCGTTGCAACGGTCGGGACGACACTCACGTTTTGGGTTTGGAGGTCCCTCAGCTCGAGCACGAACGTCTGCGGCAGTCCGCCGTCGCGGCCCGGCCGACAGCGCACCACGAAGGAGGTGACCGTGCGGTTGCTGACGCTGCATTCGCTCGGCGGCTCGGGCAGGCCTGCCAAACGGGCCGGCAGTTGGAAAACATTGGCCGCCTGTGGCCAGTTGGAGGACTCTTCTGGAAAACTACTGGGAACACATAAAGATGAACGGAGATGAATACATGATCGGGGAGATTAGTTTTTGGAAAGAGAGTGGTTTGAAGGTGACTGTTCAGAGCATCGGGCAGGAATATGGTCAAGGTCAAGCCTCTGTCGCTCTTTGAGCAACGTCGTCTCTATTGCTATACGCTCGCTCCCTTCTTTGGTGTTTGGGAAACAACAGCTGAACTTTATCAGATCGCAGTAACGACATGTGGAAATAATGCGGTAATCACCAGTGGATATGCTAGGTCAGTGCGGGTTTCGTGGACCTTGTTATATCACGTGAAAAGGAGATAATGCCGTCAGGCCAGTACAGGTTTCGGAGGCACTATATACAGTGAAAAAGAGATAATAGCGCTTCGACGCTTATTGACGTGGTATTTCCATCAATGTCTGGCCATGATTGTTTAGACGAACATCCCAGTGAACCATCTATCGTATGACACTGGA